GGAGGTCGGGTCCTGCCCCCACCGTCTCCAGCTGCTCCTCCAACCTCCCCAACCGGGCCTCCATGTCCGCGTAGCTCCTCGCCAAGCGTTCGGCGGCGGCGGCTTCGGCCAATCGCCGGCTCCGGGCTTGGCTGGTGGTCTCCAACTCCACCCAACATTGTCGAAGCTCTTCCAGTTGGCGCCGAACGGCGCCGCTTAATTCAGGTTTGGCCTGGAGAAGTTCTTCACCTTCCTGGGGTGGGGTTGGGTGGGTCAGGGGTGGTCAAGGCAGGGGGGTGTCCTCTCCCCTTCGGGGGAAATGGGGGTGCTGGGGGAAGGCTGTTGGCCAAGGGGGTGGTGGATCTCCATGAATGGTAGATATCCATGGGGTGATGGATCTCCATAGGGGTGATGGATCTCCACAGGGGTGATGGAGCTCCATGGGGTGATGGAGCTCCATGGATGGTGGAGTTCCATGGGGGTGATGGATCTCCATGGGGTGATGGAGCTCCATGGATGGTGGATCTCCATGGGGTGATGGAGCACCATGGGGGTGATGGAGCTCCATGGGGTGATGGAGCTCCATGGATGGTGGAGCTCCATAGGGGTGATGGATCTCCATGGGGTGATGGAGCTCCATGGATGGTGGAGGTCCATGGGGGTGATGGAGCACCATGGGGTGATAGATCTCCATGGGGTGATGGATCTCCATGGATGGTGGAGCTCCATGGGGGTGATGGAGCGCCATAGGGTGATGGAGCACCATGGGGTGATGGATCTCCATGGGGTGATGGATCTCCATAGGGGTGATGGATCTCCATGGATGGTGGAGCTCCATGGGGGTGATGGAGGGTCATGGGGATGCTGGGTCTCCATGGGGTGGAGGAGGTCCATGGGATGGTGGAGCTCCATGGGGGTGATGGATCTCCATGGGGTGATGGATCTCCATGGGGCGATGGAGCTCCATGGGGTGATGGATCTCCATAGGGGTGATGGATATCCACGGGGTGATGGATCTCCATAGGGGTGATGGATCTCCAAGGGGTGATGGAGCTCTGTGGATGGTGGAGCTCCATGGGGGTGATGGAGCTCCATGGGGTGGTGGAGCTCCATGGATGGTGGAGCTCCATGGATGGTGGAGCTCCATGGGGGTGATGGAGCGCCATGGGGATTCTGGGTCTCCATGGGGTGGAGGAGGTCCATGGGATGGTGGGTCTCCATGGGGGTGATAGAGCACCATGGGGGTGGTGGGTCTACATGGGGTGGTGGAGCTCCATGGATTGTGGAGGTCCATGGGGGTGATGGAGCATAATGGGGGCGGTGCATCTGCATGGGGTGGAGGAGGTCCATGGGGTGGTGGCATTCAGTGGGGTGGAGGAGGTCCATGGGGGTGATGAAGCACCACGGGGGTGGTGGATCTCCATGGGGGTGGTGGGTCTCCATGTGTGGTGGAAATGCATGGGGTGGTGGAACTCCATGGGGTTGGTGGAGATCGATGGGGCAGTGGAGGAGCTCCATGGGGTGGTGGAGACACATAGACATGGGGTTGGTGGATCTCCATGGGGTTGGTGGAGCTCCATGGGGCAGTGGAGGAGCTCCATGGGGCAGTGGAGGAGATCCATGGGGTGGTGGAGGAGATCCATGGGGCAGTGGAGGAGCTCCATGGGGCAGTGGAGGAGCTCCATGGGGCAGTGGAGGAGATCCATGGGGTGGTGGAGGAGATCCATGGGGCAGTGGAGGAGCTCCATGGGGCAGTGGGTCTCTATGGGTTGGTGGGTCTCCATGGGGTGGTGGAGGAGATCCATGGGG